TACAAAAGAAAAAGAAGGGGTGTGGAGTTAATTCTGAATAGGAAAATTAAACACTGTGTTGCTCGAGTGTCTGGCTCTCTGTGATCCCATCCAGTCTTCACATGACCATTTTACAGATGAGGAAGCCAAGGCACGGGGGGTGAGGTGGGACAGTCTCCTTCCTCCTGGCCCCGGGTACCTCTGGAGTGCCTGCTGTGCGCCAGGCACTGCACAGTACTTGCCAGGCCGTTCCTCCCATCATAGGACCAGGTAAATCCCTGATGGTGCCTGTCCACCACCCTCAAAAGCAGGTACCTTGTTCCCCACTTACATCTTCACAGTGAAAGTTAAAAGAATTGCCCTTATTCAGTAATGCTGTTTCGCAGAGGCACAATCCAGAAGTACCAGTGAAACATTCGCAGTGGTCCAGTGTGTTTGCTTGTTAGCGGTCTGAAGTCAGTAAAGGGAGCTCACCGTAACGACGCCCCATTCCCGCCTCTGCAGGGCTGACCAGGGCCGCCTCTTGGACTGTGTGGTGCGATGGGGAAGCCTCACGGAAGGGAAGGTCAGAGCGCACCTGGGGGAGGTTCTGGAAGCCGTCCGATACCTTCACAACTGCAGGATAGCACACCTGGACCTAAAGGTTGGCAGACCCTGGGGCTGGACAAAGCGGGGCTGGCCCTGCCGAGCTCGGCCACACGTGTCACGGGAGCCTCTCTCCCATTCTGTCCCCTGAAGCTCTCCAGGGGTGCTGGGGACCAGGAAAAGGAAAGAGGGCAGAGGGGAATTGAACACTTAACTCATGACCTGTTTTCAGTGATAAGCACCATCAGTACAGTGCTAGGTTAACAGTTCATGTGAGCTTCAGAAAGTTTCTGAGGGTTTTCTGGGTTGGTGTGGGACTGAGGGACGCAGCAATCTGGAAAGGAGAGAGCGAGCTCCTCCTAGTACTGGGAGTTAACTGAGCCCCCAGCTTCCTAAACCAGCCTGGCTCACTCATGACCCTTACAAGTTCAGACAGAGCTGCGTAGATGCCTTCTCCCTCAGCAGGCTGCCAGTCATCGGGTCAGAAAATGACAGATGTATTGTCCTGTGTTCTAGCCTGAGAATATCTTGGTGGATCAGAGTTTGGCCAAGCCAATGATCAAGCTGACTGACTTTGGAGATGCCGTCCAGCTCAACACGACCTACTACATCCACCAGTTGCTGGGGAACCCCGAGTTCGCAGCCCCTGAGATCATCCTGGGGAACCCGGTCTCCCTGACCTCGGACATGTGGAGCGTTGGTGTGCTCGCGTACGTGCTTCTCAGCGGCGTGTCCCCTTTCCTGGACGACAGCGTGGAGGAGACCTGCCTGAACATTTGCCGACTAGACTTTAGCTTCCCAGATGACTACTTTGAAGGAGTCAGCCAGAAGGCCAAGGAGTTCGTGTGCTTCCTCCTGCAGGAGGACCCTGCCAAGCGTCCCTCGGCTGCGCTGGCCCTGCAGGAGCAGTGGCTGCAGGTGGGCAACGGCAACAGCAAGGGCATGGGCGTCCTCGACACGTCCAGACTGACCTCCTTCATTGAGCGGCGCAAACACCAGAATGATGTTCGACCTATTCGTAGCATTAAAAACTTCTTACAGAGCAGGCTTCTGCCTAGAGTTTGACCTGTCTTGAAGTTCTCTCTCATTCTCTTTCACCTGCCAATCAGCTGTTAATTTGAATTTTGAAGAGGAAAAAAAAAACAAACCTAACTGACCAGCTGCCGATCCGTTCATCGTGTGAAATTGCATTCCAAGTGAGCTGTGCCCGCAGCGCCGGGACTCAGAGCTGCGGGCTGCGCTGGGGTGGAGGACCTTCAGTTACTCTGCCACGGCAGAGATCGCTTTGCTGTATCACAGTATTTTATTCAGGTTTCTGCAAAAAAAATAAAAAGATACTTTTTTAAATGAACATGGATAGGATTTTGCAAATTTAACATTTTCAAGATTTATTCAAGGAAACAAAATGCCTATGTTCAACCACTGGTGTTAACAAACACAGCAAAGATACTGTGCATCTCTGGAGAAAACTCACCCGGGTGGGCCACTCCACAGCCTCGGCGAGCACCCCAAGTCCACGTGGCGCTGAGCTTTTCCAGCTGCCTCGTCTGCGTGCGTCTCCCAGGGACACCAGACTTGGCTTCTGAAACGTGCACTCAACCTCAGATTTTGGATAAAATGGAATGAATCGTTCTGCTCTGATGAAATGTAGGCCTTACTTGTATATAAGACTGTTCCTGCCTTCAGTCTGGCACCCCGCCCTACCCCCACCACCACCTGGGCCTTCCCCTGGGGGTCCAAGGGTCTGCCCATCCACAGTGACGTCAGGTCGGGTCCAGTCCTGCCGCCCTGTCCCTGCCCGAGCCATCAGTCAGATTGTTGAGCAGTATACAGTCAGATGAAAATAGTGTAAATGCACTCATTGGGGTCTTTTTTGGTTTTCTTTCATATCATGTGCAATGTTGTGGCTTTAACATTTTATGCAACTATTTATGAAGACCTCTGTTGTACCTGTAATAAATATATAGAAAAAGCACATACTTCGTACAGTGAGCTTTATGGTTTTGTGTGTGTGTTGGGGGGAGGTTGTCGTAGCCCTTTGCCATCGGTGCAAGGAGTCTTAACTCTTCGTGAAACTTGTCAGTTTTGAGGACTGTAAAAAGTGATTTTATACTCTGAATATAAGACTGGATAATAGGGTAATGTTTTAAAATTGATTATGCTATTATTCAGAATGCCAAAGTATTATTTTTTTCCCAAAATCGGTCTGGACATTTACTACTTTTTAAACTTTTTGACATTGAACTTTCTGTACAAAAATTGGCTGGATTTTGAGCTTTTGGTAAGACATTAAAGCCATTTCAGCACTGGCCATCCTGAGCCTGGTCCCTGATGCCTGCGTCACTGTGGCAGAATGAGTGCTGGCGTGGGGCGGCCTTTCAGCAGAAGAGGCTGGGTTTCTAGGCTCGCTTGAGTTTTTCTGGATGTCTTTTTATCTTTATTGTGTGAAATACACTAAAAAAGAGAACAGCCTGCTTCCCAAGCCAGCCAGCATCTGGGTCTTGAGCCATAAACTGGCATAGTTAAGCTTTGCAGCTTCCAGTGTATTTTATTTATTCTTTCATTGGGTTTATGTTTCTTCTTGTAAAATTGTACAGAAACTTTTTAAAAGAAATTGGATTCAGAACTGGATGTGTATCCGTACCCTCATAACTTTTATTTGTGTATTGTTTCTTTTATTATTTCAGTTAAATTTTTACATCATTTTGCATGTATATTTCTTTGTACAGAGACCTTACATGTTTACACAGTACAATGTGATGTAAATATTTTATTTTGCCATCAGTTATTTTAAAAAATTAAACATATTTGCCTGATTTTTGTGTTAGGCCTTTTATTTACATTGGTCACTGTCAAATGAGAGATCGCTGAGGGGGAGACTAAGGCAGGGCATCTGGCAAGTGGGAGAGGACAGAATATTCTGGGCTGGAGAATCCCTGTCCCTGGCCAAAAATTGGATTGGTCGGGCTCCTGCAGACACTGGTGTGTACCCAAGTGGCAGCTGACTGCTGGGGGGTGGCGCTTCCTGCTTTAGGGCATCCTGTTTCCTGGTGAGGTAGAATGGGGGCAAAGGGAAGAGCTCTTCATTCCGGCCTCGGAAAAGTAGTCAGTGTTGTCATCGGGCCAAGAGGATGAAGTACCTAGGTTCAAGCACTGTGTTAAACTGTGGAGAAGACCTCAGGGCGGTCCCGGGGCATTGTAGCCACTGCCCCCTGGGTCCTCCACTGCAGGGCTGTGAGGCTAGCGTGGCTTCGCCGCCCCGCTGGTCCCCACTGCTGGCAGTAGGTGGTTTTTCCAGGTGACTGATAGCAAATCTTGCTTTGATCCTTTTGGTCTTTCCTTCTGGGATGGTGACTTAATCAGCACATCGTGAAGAACAGATTTTCATCTGTGCGGGGATCCGGAAGAGAAGACCAGTGTGAAAGGACAACACATCTGCTGGGCCTGTGATTAGGACACAGGAAGCTGACCAGTTTGGTGTGTGCCCCTCCCTGAGTGCCAAGGACACCCTACAGGCAATGGATTCGGGATGGACAAGAATTAAAGGTCAGTTCTAGTCCACCCTGCAGCAGAGCATCAGACTCGTGATGTTTTCCTTTAAACTGAGTACTTGCTGGAGTATCTATGCTTGTGAAATTAGCAAAGCACATGCGTGTGAAAGGCATTCAGACGTGTTGTCTGTCATGGTCACTAGATTTGTTTTCACTCAAATATCAAGACAGTTTATATTCTGCATGTTGTTACTATTTATAAATCTTTGCAATCTATGGATGCTCATCCCGAGGGTAGGGTAGAAGAGTGGGAATCACCAAGACTTAGCAGAATTAAAAATATAGCGGGCCAGGGATTTAGCTTAGTGGCACCACACCTGCCTTGCAAGCACAAAGTCTTGAGTTCAATCCCTGGTACAAAAACATAAAATAAATAAATGGTAGCCAGTCATGGTGGTGCACGCCTATAATTCCAGCACTTGGGAGGCTGAGGCAAGAGGATCGTTGTGAGTTTGAGACCAGCCTGGGCTACACAGTGAGTTCTAGGTCAGTATCAACTACATAGTGAGACCCTGTTTCAAAAAACAAAAAAATAAATACATAAGTGGCAAGTGTCATTAGAAGGAAAGATCATATAATTCTGTGCATTTTTCAGATCTCACAGTGGAGACAAAAATAATTTGTAGAGGGCTAGGAATTTAGCTCAGTAGTGCCATGCTTTCCTCGCAAGTGCAAAGTACTGAATTCGATCCCCCATACTGGAAAAAAAATTTGTGGAACTGGTAAAATAATCCTCGGATTTATTATGTGAGATCCAACTTACAGAAATAAAGTACGTTAATCTTAAGTCAGTTCCACAGTACATGTCTATAGGTGTACTGTACACACCTGTGATCATCCCTCAAGACAAAATACAGAGCATTTCTGGTAGAGCAATAAGACAGGCCCTTGCCTTGTCTCTGTTTTCTTTCCGTAAAATATTTTGTTCCAGAAATGTAACAGTTTGTGGTATTTGCTGGGCAGCCTCCTGCCCAATGTATCAAAATGTTCTGTGACTGTTTGAACTTACTGGCCCCTCTCTGGAAGGTTCTGTTAGCCCCGCCCCTCTTTCTGTGAGCGTGCTCACCCACGGTGCCTTTCAGGAACCCCGCCCCCACCCCTACCCCTGTTTCGGTGAGCTCGGCCACCCTGTAGACCCCTATATAAGGAGGGCTTATACTCCAACTCCACTGAGCCCGCAAGCGTATTAGGCTGTAACACTGTGCTGTAACACTTGGCTGTAGCACCGAGCTGTCCGCTTTGCCACAACATTTACATTGTCCACTGCCCATCACCCTCAGAAGATCCTGCGCAGCCAGAGGTAATCACTGCTCTAATTTTGTCACCCACGGGTGAGTTTGCCTTTGAACTTGATGTAAATAAAACTATATAATATGTACTTTTTAAATTAGGTTAAACGTTTTATTTTGAGATCATTGTACATTGCAGATTTTCCCGCAACTGTGATAACATTTTAAAATGCTAAGGCGATGTCACAACCGGAATATTAGCATCAGTATGTCAAGATGTAGAGCAGTTCCATCTCCACAGCGACCCCTAGTGTTGTCTTTTGATAGCTGCCCAACCTCCCTTTTCCCATGTCCCCTCCTTTACACGCCCAGCAGCTATTTACCTGTTGTCCACTTCTTTGATCTTGATATTTTGAGAGGTTCGATAAATGGAATTGCGCAGTGTGTGCCATTGGGACCTAAGCTTTTCACTGAGCACGCCTCTGTGAAGATTCATCCAGCGGGCTGTATGTATCCGTGGTTTTTCCTTTTTATTACTCAGCAGTATCCCGTGGTTAACCATTTACCCACTGAAAAGACATCTGCGTTTTTCCAGCTTTTGGCTGTTACGAGTAAATCTTCTATGAATATTTGTGTGGTGTTTTGTGTGAACATAAAAGGTTCGTTTCTTTGGGATGAGACCATTGATGGGTTATATTGTGGTTCCATGTCAAATTGTTTAAGGGATTGCCAAACTTTTATCAGAATGACTGTACCGTTTTGCATTCCACCAGCACTGTATGAGTCCTCGGTGGTGAGGCTGTTCTTTCTTTGGCCATTCTAACAAATGTGCAATGTCTCGCTGTGGTTTTCCTTTGCGTTTTCCCCAATGGCTAATGATACAGAACATCTTTTTGTTTACTTACACGTCTATACATCCTCTTCAGTAAAATGTCTCTTCTTGTTTTTTACCCTTTTTCTTGTTGGACTGTTTTGTTGTGGTTTGATTTGAGTTTTGGTTTGTTTCTGTGCTGCTGGGGATCAAATCCAGGGCCTCAAGAGTGCTAACCAAGCACTGTGCCACTGAGCTACACTCACCCAGACAGTTTGGGTTTTAGTTGTTGAGTTTAAAAGTTCTTTATTTTAAATATGGGTCCTTTGTTTGAGATGTGATTTGCAAATATTTGCTCTTTCTCTATAGTGTTTCTTAACAGGATCTCTCACAGAGTAAGCATTTTTAATTTGAGTGAAGTTCAATTTATCAGTATTTCATGGATCAAGCTTTCGGTGTTAAGTCTAAGAACTCTTTAGCCCTAAATTAAGAGGTGTTTTTTTTTTTTCTTAAAACTTTGTTTCACATATTACATTAGTCTGTGGTCATCCTGAATTAATTTCCAAATAAGGTGTGAGGATTAGGTTGGTGGGGGGTTGTTACTGCTTTCACTTTGTTCTGTTTCATTTACATTGAATGATTGATTGATTGATTGATTGCATATGAGTATCCAGAAAGTTTTTAGCACCATTTGTTAAGAAGCCTACCCTTGGGTCAGGGATTTGGCTCAGTGGTTCCTTCGCGTGCCTCGCAGGCACAAGGTCCTGAGTTCGATCTCTGGTACAAAAAAAAAAAAAAGCCTACCCTTTTCTGCTGGCAAAACCATTTGAAACTATTTATGTAGAGCCTCTTCTTCTCTGTTCCACTGATCTCCTTATTCCCCTACCAACCATCCAGTGTTGATTACTATAGCTATTCAGGAAGGCCGGTAGACTTATCCTCCCATTTTGTTATTCTTTTTCATAATTGTCTTAGCTACTCTAGTTTTTTGTCTTTCCATATAAAATCCACAATAGTTTTATCTACATCTGCAAAATATCTCTTGGGTTTTTTTATATCAATTTGAAGAAAATTGATGCCTTCACCTTGTTGGGGCTTCCAATCCTTGAATATAGTATACCTCCATTTATTGAGATCTTTTTATTATTCTCATGAGCATCTTAGTTTTAAAAATTCTTCTCTATGTTAAAATTATACTTAAGTATGTTTTTAAACAATTATAAACATATTTTTAAATTTTGGTGTCCACGTATTTATTATTACTGATACACAGGCAAAAAACTTAATTTATAATGTTTTACTCTAATAATTTTCATAAATCACTAATTCTGGGGCTTGGAATTTTCTATATAAATGATCTGTAAATAGAGACAGTTTTATTCTTTCCTCTTCTATCAGTATGGCTTTTCTCTTACTTGCTTATTTCACTGGCTATAGCTCCCAGTGCTAAGTGAAACATGAGTGGGAAGACAGATATCCTTGTCTGGCTTCTAGTCTTTGGCAGGAAGACAGTCAGCCTTTTACCATAAATCTTCAGAATTAGCTGAGGATTTGTATAGATGCTCTTCAACCGGACGAGTAAGTTCTCCTGTTCCTGTTTTTCTAAGTGTTTTTATCATGAATGAATGTTGATATTACTAAATGTTTTTAATTGATATTATTTTTCTTCTTTCGCCTAATAATATGGTTAATTTTCAAATATGCCAATCTTGCATCATTGGAATGAACTCTATTTGGTCATAGTATATAATTCTTTCTGAACTACACTTATTTATATCTTGCTAAGGATTTTGTATCCATATTCATGAGGAATATTAATTTATAATTTTCTTTTTTGTTCTGTCACTGGTTTGATATCAGGGTAGGACTAGCTTCATACAATGAATTGGAAAGTATAAACTCCTACCTTTATGGAAGACACTGTGTAAATTTGGTGTTAATTCTTCTTTAAGTATTTGGCAGACTTCTCCAATGGAAACATGTAAGCCTGAAGGATTCTTTATGTGGATTTTTGAATTATGTTAACAATGTCCTTCATTGTTATAGACTTATTCAAATTACCTGTTTCATATTCAGTGAATTGTGATTCCCTTGTTTTTCAAAAAAGGGTTGATCATGTCATGTCTGGTTATTCAATTATTGAAAAAGGAATGTTGAAGTTTTCAACAATAGTTAGGGATTTGTCTGTTTCTTTTGCACGTCTCAATTTTTTGTTTCACATATTTTACAGCTCTGTTGTTTGATACACACATACTCAGGATTACCATGTCTGCTTGAACTGATGCTTTTTTTTTCCTTTGGTTTTTTGAGACGATCTAACTATGTAGTTGAGACTGACCTGGAACTCATTATGTAGCCCAGGCTGGTCTTGTACTCACAGTGATCCTCCTGTGAGGATCCTCAGCCTCCCGAGTACTGGTATTATAGGCATGCACCACCACACCCGGCTTTTGGAATTGATGCTTTTATTACTGTAATATCCATTCTGTCCCTGAGTATCTGCTCTGATGTATACTAACAGATTAGTGTAGTCAGTCCTGACTTTTATTTTCTTCACCAGTGTTGGTGTGGCATGTCTTTTTCACTCTGTCAGTGTCCTATATCCTTATGTCAGTTTCCTGTAGACAGCCTGTAATTGGATCATATTTTTTAATCCACGCCACTCATCTTTTTTAATTGGTTGTTTAAATAATTTACATTTAATCAAATTTATTGAAAAGTTAAGGGTTTAAGCTGCTATTTAATTTTTGACTCACTCTTCTGTCTTGGCTCCATTTCTGTTTTGCTTTTGATTTTGCCTGTTATAAGGATTGCTTGAACACTTAGAATCTCTTTTTGATTTCCCTACATTGTCATTAAATGTATTTCTTTGTGTATGTTTAATGGTCACTATATTGCATTATGCATGCAAACCACAGTCTACTGGTATAATCCATTCTACCAGTTTTAATGAAATGTAGAAACTTTCCCTCTATAATGGTAATTGTCTTAAATATTTCCTTTAGGTGGTTTAGAACCACAATACACACAGTGTCTTTTCACTGTTTCTCTTCAGGGATCAAACAGAATTTTGAGTGCTTCTCCCATTAGAGAATTAAGAGAATAAGAGAAATGAATTTACTCATATTTTTCTCCATTGTGCTTTATTTCAGTATTCCAAGATTTCTCCCTTCCTTTCTATTTAGACAATTAACTTCAGCCATTCTTTTAGAGTAATTCTACTGACATTCTCAGTTTTTCTTTCTCTGAGGACATCTTCACTTCCCTTGCATGAGTGAAGGGCAGGTTTTCCAGATATATAATTCTAGATTAACAGCTCTTTTCTTTCAGCACTGGAAAAATGCCATGCCACTCTCTTTAAGCCTCCATGATTTCTAATGAGAAATCTGCTGCCATTCAAATTGCTTTTCCCTTATAAAATAGATTTTTTTTTTCCTCATTTTCAGTATTTTTTTTCCTTGTCTTTAAACTCTCTTGTGTCTCTTTTGTGCATTTCTTTGCATCTGTAGGTATGTCTGTTGTCAAATTTGGGAAGTTTGCAGTCATTATTTCTTAAAGTTTTGTTGTTGTTGTTGTTGTTGTTGTTTTCTTGAGTCCTGGGACTGAACCCAGGGCTTTATGCTTACTAAGCATGTGCTCTGCCACTGAGACACAGGCGCAGCCCATCTTCAGTTTCTTTTGCAGCCTTGCCTTCTTCTGTCCACGCTAGTCTTCTGTCAGTTGAGTTTACTTCATTGTATTTCTAAGCTCTAAAATTTTACTTGGTTTCTCTTGTATGTTCAGTTTCTTTACTGAGACTTCCTACTTAATCACTTTGATTAAGCATGTTTATAATTGTTTCTTGAAGGCTTCTTTACCCCAGGTGAGGATCAAAGTCCTGACTGCACTGGTCCTCCTCTGATAACACCTGAGCAGGGAGGGAAGACGGCTCTTATTAATGGGTTGGAATAGAAGCACAAGCTTCCCCAATAATCTCCACTGATAACAAAGGGTACAGGAGAGTTCTGGCCCCTGTTTGACCTCCATTATCACTGGGCAAGATGAGACATCTTGGCTCTGCACTAGTCTTTGCCACTGAGATGAGGGCCGTGTTTCCCCAGTCCTGTTAGGCTAGAGAAGAGAAGTTACATGATTACTGTCTGAAAGTTTTCAATCTTGCTGAACTGCCCCTTTGTTCATCCCTCGTCCAGGCGAAGCAGGTGTTCTGGAGACTTTTTTGTGCACCTACTGACATTTGCAGGTTGCTGGCTTCCTTAGCTCCAAGACTGGGATATATGAGCAAACGGAAGTC